TCACGTCCATGGGATCTTCTAGCAGCTTCGGGGGTTCTCTCTCGTACATTCTCTCAAAATGTTCCAACCATTTGTATTGACTGTTTTCTATTGTTGTGTTGATATCTGCTGTTCCCAGTTTCTCTCAAATATCATCCATACGCTGACCGTCCGTCATTCTGTATCCTACACCGCCCTCAGAAGGCGCGCTGTTCCCATCTCTTCTTTCATTAATGTCCAACATTGCATTTCATATAAAAACAAGTTCAGGAAGAACTAATCATCTGATTCCCATTTATGCGACACGGACCGCATAGAAAATGACGCGTCCAACAATTCTTCTATTGTTGCGCGTGCATTCTTTACCGCGGTGAAGTTTATTTCGATTTGTTACTTATCAACGATACGCGGGGACACACAGACTGTTGGGAGGGATGTATGAAGTACGCAGTTGAGATGGGGAGCCGGGACAGCGTAGTCGCTATAGCGACTGGATACAGGCTGGACAACTGAAGGGTCGGAGTTCGAGTCTCGGTAGGTTCAAGAACTTTCTCAACGTCGTTCAGATCGGCTCTGAGGTTCACCCAACCTCCTATCCAATGGATACAAGGTACGTTTTCCTCGGGATAAAGTGGCCGGGGCGTGAAGCTGACCATTCACCTCCAGCTAGTGCCGAAGTCAGGGAAAATTTGGATCTATACATTCACTACCCCATACGCATTCATGGCGTAGTGCTTAATTAGTTAAGCACAAGGAAAATTTTACCTCTTACCTCTTCCTTACTTACTTATGAAATTGAGCACTTCTGTAGGAGCCGCCAATTCTGCAGCTACTCAAGAATTTCCCAGCATTTTATTGAACCCGAAGATTCAGTACCGTGTTCACAAGAGCTCTTCACTGGTCCCTATTCTGAGCCAGATATATCCAATCCATACCATCCCATCCTATCTCTCTAAGATCCATCTAATATTGTCCACTCACCTACGCCTTGCTCTTCCCTGTGGTCTCTTTCCTTCTGGCTTTCCTACCAATATCCTATATGCATTCTTCGTCTCCCCGATTCGTGCTACATGCCCTGCCAACCTAATCCTCCTTGACCTGATAATTCTAATTATACTTGGAGAAGAGTACAAGTTATGAAGCTCCTCATTATGCAGTTTTCTCCAACCTCCTGTTACTTTATCTCTCTTTGGTCCAAATATACTCCTCAACACCCTGTTCTCAAACACCCTCAGTCTATGCTCCTCCTTTAATGTCAGAGACCAAATTTCACACTCATACAGAACCAGAGGCAAATTTATAGTTTTGTATATTCCAATTTTTATGTTTTTTGGACACCAGACGAGAAGACAGAATGTTCTGGACTGAATTGTAGCAAGCATTACCCGGGTTCAATCGCCTCTTAATTTCCTCCTGAATCAGGTTTCGATCTGTTATCGTTGTTCCCAAATATCTGAACTGTGCCAGATTTTCAACACATCTGTTTCCTATCTTTATGTCGTGATTTTCCCTGCATTTTGGTGACGAGACAGTAACATATACTTATTTTACCTCTTCCTGGGTTGTGAAATGAATCTTCTACTGAGACAATTTGCCGAAGTGGTAACGCATCTGATTTATGTTTGGGAGGGATCCGGTTCGAATCTCAGCTTCGAAATGGACACTTCTAACTGAGGATTTTGTTGTTTTATGCAGTTCCTTCACACAACTGTCACAATAATACCTCGAATTAGGCCAAGCCTACTGCCTTTCAAATATTTTCCAATTCACTAATAATCATACCACTAAACTCTTCTTCTTCTTCTACTTCTACGACTACTACTACTACTACTACTACTACTACTACTACTACTACTACTACTACTTCTACTACTACCACCACCTTCATAGATTACGTTGTCTGGCCTGTGACCATTCAGAATTAATTAATTCTGAAATATGAATTTTATGGACAGTTTTTTCTTTAATTCGCTTAGTGGGGGTGGAGTCCAAATGGGTCCACTCGCAGGAAGCCTGGTAGAAGATTCCCTTGCAGATCATACAGGACCTCTATTTAACCATTCTAAGGAGACTGCAAGCCAGAGGTTGTCCTACACCATATTAGTCACGGTAATGTGTTTTTGTTGGGTGTTTCCATATTTTTGTCCATACCTGTATAAAGTATATAGTAAACTCATAATATTGCGGGTAATTTTAATTATCGTTACACACTTTTAAAGAAAACCCCAAGGTACTGACAAATGCAAAATCTAGAGCAGTGTTTCAAATTGTTTCTCGAATTTTAGGCTGAAGATCAATGTGTAACACTTGTTTGCATGTTTTCCGTGTATTACGAGCGGAACTGTTATTGTGCCGTGCACACGTGAGCGCACTCCTCTGAATTTCAACATTTCAATGCCTGAGACTTGAATTAGATAAATGAAAAAGAAAACAAACCAAGTCTTTCCATGCTAGATAAAAATGTTTTGATTGAAAGGGGAGGTCTCGCTTTCACAAAGCATCATTTATTCTCAAAGGAAGTTATCTGATGTAAAAAGTAGTGCTGTAATTCAATATATGGCTTTAGAATTCGAAATACTGCTCTTAGAATTCTTCGAACCAAACTTCATATATAAAACAGGAAACGTCAGAGGAAAAATGGCCAAATGGACAAAGAGATGGACAAGCNCCGGGTTCGCAGGAGCCAGCCACTGGATCGTATTCTGAGCCATGTAATTTCATTCGAAACCCTCACATTCTATTTCTTCGAGATACATTTTAATATTATCCTCTCATCAACACCGAAGTACCAAAGTCTGGGTGTAACGCTGTAGACTTTTGTTCGAGAGATGCTGTGTTCGAATTTCTGCCAGAACACAGGCTATCCTGACTGAGGTGTCTTGTGGTTTTCCTCAGTCACTCCAGGAATACTTAATTAAGGCCACAGGCGCATCCTTCCAAGTTATTTCCAAGACGTAGCACACCTATCATACTACCACCCGATGCTATATTGTCTTTATACTAAAAAAGGAATCACTAATGACCCACGGAATAAAAAATCTAGGTCTTTCACATGGTCTCTCCCCTTCATATTCTCCAATCAAAATTCTGTATGAATTTCCCTATAGGGTGTGAAGCCATCTAGATAGGTCCCTCTACCATTTTTTAAATATATTTTCATACATCAAAAATATTTGTAAAAATTTGTAATGCGCTCGATTTTCCAGGTATGGCCATTTCTATAATGCGAAAAAACGCGTTTTCTGCTGGAATGGAGGTTCGCGTTATCTCCAATATCTGGATAACTATTGAAGCTAGAGTCTCAATTAAAACCAATTTGTTCCTTATGATATGTACTACAATTCATATCATTACAAGGTTTTACTCAGTTCACTTCCTGTAGGTGTAATTAAGCTTGAATCTTACCTATCGATTTTGGGAATTAAGCTAATTTTGACCTTTAAAAACCAATGGAAGGGTAAAGTATTAGGTGTGTGCTTTCTGCCCTTTCTTGTTGCCTACATGGGGAATATAGTCACGTAGTTTTGAACTCCGTATCTATTTTCGAAATTTTCCAGGAGCTTCTGAACTTCGCTCTGCACCCAAAATCGACAATTTAAACATCTCATATCTCCGCCGGGGAAGTTCCGAAAATTTTATAATTCATAGTAAATAATGCTCTGTTCTAGAGTGATTTGGATTTGAAATTACAACTTTGATATTCTACTGATAGCGAAGTTGTGGGCAGTTTCAATTTTACTAAAAAAAACTCAATATCTGAACAATTGACTTACCTGCATCCTTGGTATTATTTGTGGGTGTGTTGGACGCTCGACTATTTATTAGAACCAGTGAAGACGACGACCGCCTCTGTGGTTCCTGGCTACAGACCCAGAGGTCCCGGGTTCGATTCCCTGCACTACCAGATTTTCTTAGAAGTTGTGGGTTTGGAACGGGGTCCACTCAGTCCCGTGAGGATAATTGATGAGCTATTTAAAGGAAATAGCGGCTCCGGTCTAGAAAATCGAGATTAACGGCCGTGGCGATTCGTTGCGATGACCACGCGACAACCTCTATCCACTAAAATTACCACTACCTTCGCCGACAAGCGGCCGTCGCTGGGTCGGTATAGTGTGCTTGCGGACCAAAAGCCAAGGAGTAACGAAGATGAAGTACGGGTATCATGAGATAATTTGCGCTAATTTTCGATGTTGTCATATACCGGTGATATTATCGCTATTCGATATAATGGTACCTTTACACAATTTAATATCGGCACTTTCTCCTTTGAATTTGTCGAATAACGTGGAGATACCTGTGATACCGAGTGAAGGGCCACAGTGTTGCGTAATTTAACCGGTATTTAAATCGCCTGTGTACAACGAAAAACCTGTGGCGTCTGGTTATAACTTATAGAGGCCACATGATGCGTATTCAACAAACCGAAATACAAGAGGAAATCATACAGCTTTCATTCCTGTTGCAAATGTTTTTGCTTCTACAGTACCGTTAGCATTATTGCTAGTATTTTGTTTTACTTCCCTGAAGAACTTGTAACTTAAACTTACGGTTACGCTAAACAGAATTTCATTCAGAATCTGCGGGTGTGTTTAAGACACATTTCAATATCAAACTGCAGATAGCTTGCTCAAAATGTTACCACCCTCAAACCGAAAGGTAAATACAGATATCGGGCCGCGTCCTGTATTTCCTTTACATTCATCTAAAAAAAGGGAAGTTTCCATGTTTCAAGATATACTACTTACCTTACACTACTTCTATCTTCCACCTCTGAAGTTCGCGCATCCCCCATGCTGTTATTATTACTTACTGCAGGAAGTTAAAAAGTACTGCATTTGAGTGACCTCAAACAACAGAATGTTCACAGCACATTTCATGAAAATTGGTCAGCTGCTTCCAAAGGTCAAAGGGGAAAAATGGCATGCTGATCTCCTTACTTCACTTCATTTCAGCACTAGAGGGAAGCATTGTAGAAAGTGGGCATGTGTAGATCAAAATAAATAAATAAATAAATCTTGTAAACTTCAAAAGTTTTATATTCAGTCTAAAGAAGAACATTTCCATTGCTCTCACACCAAACAGTGAGTCATATTCACTTTTACAGATTTTGCTACCATCACAAATAAACCACTGCTTTTAATGGCGACTTTCATAACTTACGAAGAGCTGCAACAAATGCATTAATTTAGCAACTGTAATTACATCTGCAAAAAGAAACTCAACAATGTTATTTAGTGTTTTAGTAGTGCTGAATTTTAAATGTGGTACAAAATAATGTCTTCCTGTAAAGATTTAAACACAGTAAATTTACATGCAGTTCTTTCATTATTTCAACTCTCTGTAAACACTGTTAATAGCCATAGATATACATATAGATATGTAGATATATAGATTCAGGTATATGTACATACTGATAGAAATTAATTCTGTATTCTTGTGTCACTGTATATTTACAATTGGTGAACTACAGTATCTGCAAAAATATGCTACCTCAATCGCCAACTGATCACCTTCTCTTGTCTGTGCAATGCTATAACTGTTTGCTTGATATCAGAACCCGTGGGCATACCTTCCATAAATATACACGTACAAAAATATCAAAAAATAAGACTCATGTTGCGTACTGTGTACCAGTAGGCGATACTATTAATACGCTGGCAGTGATCATCAGCTCCAAAGTATGCCAGTCTCAGACCATACAAATTGACACATGGATGCGCAGGATGCCATCATCTGCAAAAAGTCGGGCAGTGTAGCCGTCAAATTGAAGACAGTCCGAGTTCAGGATTATTATGGTGACTTGTTCATGGATGGATTTTGGTGTTTCTTCCAGTGTCAAACGTCTTCCGTGGCCATTCAGTTCTAACTTATATGCAAATTTTTTAGTCTGTTTCCTTGTCCCAATCAGTTGTACTATAGCAAAGTAATGTTCACATACATACCACTTCACTCGTTTCTCAAGTAGCAACCTAAAATGGTGGCCAAAGCATGACTGCATCATGACCCAGCTCCTATCTTCTGTCAGATTGGTGTGTTTTGCTAGAAATACAACATCCTCTCCTTGAAGAGTTGTGATTGATTCATGAGACATCATAAGGTGAGGCATCACCTGCTTAAGGGAACCTTGCCACTTGCAACAGGCCCCCCAGCACGGACAGGAGTATGGCCGATATTCACACCCTTCTTCATGTTCCTTCCTCTTAATGCCTAGAAGGGCTACTGCGCGGCAAAATATTGAATAGTTGCATGGGAGCTTAAGAGTGTTTGGAGTTTTCTCCATTGCCAAGTTCCGAATGTTTCCCAAAGCTGCCGTGCACATTGGACAGTGAGTCAACTTGGGACGACATTCGGTGCAAATCCGGTGTCCATTATGACACTGCAATATTGGAGGTAGAAAATAATCAGAGCACACTGGGCACATGTAGAGCCCTCCTTTGGTCTCCATGGCTGATGTACTGTTATGATCCATCTGCGGAAATCGAAGCCCTCACTTTTACCTGCGAACAGAGAAATAGAAATAAATATCGTCAGGTTATTCTGGAGGCACATGAAAAGCTGGAAGCTAGACATCAGACTCAACTATAGGAACGCCTCATATCTGTGATGGATTGTATGACCAGTCACTCCGCCTACCTCTACTGGTGAGCATTCCTGGCTGAAGAGCGATAATTAGGTAACTCTAATTACCAGTTCTCGAAATTGGATCATATCTACGAAAATCTCAGAAAAATTGATTACCTATGATTCCAAGAAAATATGCCTATTATTTTAGCACGTCTATTTCTTCTCGTCCAGCCGGACATAATGTTAAGAAAGCAATTCCTGGATCGTAATTAAGAATGAAAAAAGAACAGACGGAGCAGACTCGTGCAGCTGTAACGCTCTAAACCTGTATGCTGGAGGTGTTGGGTTCGAATCTGGAACTGAACACCAGCTGTCCGCACTGAAGTATTTCATATTTCTTCTCAGTCCCTAAAGGAAAATGCTACTAGTGTACCTGGATCAGGGTAAAGTTTTCTTCGTTTCTAACACTTTCCAATTAATTATTCGTTAAATCATTCCATCGCTTGATCCCATAGCCTATAGTCTGAAATCCTACAGGCGTCGTTAAACAAGCTACATAAAACAATAAAGTGCACATACGAGATTCTGTAAATAGCTAACTTGATCCAGCTGAACCCAGTCCACATCCTCACACCCTGTTGCTTTAAGGTTAATGTCAATATCTTCACGTGTTACTGACTGGACACGAGGTCCGATATGAGCATCGAATGTACTGAACAAATGACATTTGTAACTACAAATAACTGCAACACTTTCACTATTCTGTACCGTCTAGAAATAACTGCAGTCTTAAATATATTGTCGCTCCTTGTGTATATAACGCGCGACAAATAACTTCACGCCGTCTTGGCAATAGTAATTTTATTCCACTCGCTCTTGCAATCAAACAATTTACAACCTCACAATTACTGCCATCGGCAGTATCACAAATACTAGACTGCAATTAACTGGTTACTCTTACTCTAGTAACTGACTCAATACTCACTACTCCCGGACAAATCACTCACTAGTTACTGAATACTGTTCGATGCTCCTTATTTAGCCTCGGCACGGACAACGCAGAAAACAATTACGTAACAGGTTCCACTGTTGCCTGACGCCGTGTTTACAGGTTGCCAAGCATACCTGTCGAGAGTTGTTTACTGCTCTGTAGCAACCGCGGCATCCCTTGTTACATCACCGCGGAAGTAGTTGCCTGATGCAGCCGCTCCTCTGCCACGTGACCAAGCTTTGCGCACTGATGGACGGAGTGGGAATATGTGACGTCACTCGCGAGATCACCTAATTCACGCTACCCCCAACTCCCGCTACGCCATCCATGTCACAATACGTTATATTCTCACCTCACTGTTTGTAGTAATCGCTTCCGGAAATGGTCATTGGGCTCGTTGCTTGCTCTCTCTTCCTCAATTGCTTCTGTGTCTGATCTTCTTCCGCAGCTCGCTTTTATACTCCGCAAAAGGCACATGTGACGTCACAGTACCTCTACAGTTTGCATGGCAGAGGTGAGGTCTGCTGCCACGTCACAGTGCCACGTCGCCGGGAAGTGTTGCTAGCAACGCATGCCTTATAGCGTTTTAAGCGTTATGTAATAATATTTTACTTCGACCAAGTAAAATTTTGTACAATTTATCACGTCTTATAAACTTGTAACATGTCCCGCACATATCACATACGTGTATATGTGAATGCCCTAACAGTATCAGATGGAGGGTGTGTAGTTATGCAACACGCAGCTCCTTCTGGCCTTCTTGTGTTTATTTTTAAGAAATAGAAATAATCGTTTGCTTGGAGACGAAAAATTCTAATTCGCTTAGTGGGGGGGTGGAGTCCAACTCCACTGATTGACATATTGTAGCATGCACCGGGTGATTATGATGATGGAGAATTTGGTGACACTAGAGAAATACCATATAAACAAAGTAAGTAAGAGGGGCCTGCACATGAATGACACACACATAGAAACACACAATCCCATATTACAGACATTACACGAAATCTATACCGACTAACGGTATTCCCCCTTCCCATTTCCCCTTCCTCACCTCCACTTAACAACATAAAACACAGCACACAATACACCAGACAGCAAACGTATTAAAGACGAACAGCGGCACACACACACACAGGGAGCCTGCACAGAGTAAGTACACACAGCAGTATAAAACATAGGAATAACATAAGAACATAAGATATTAATACGAATATTTGTGTATTACAGATATATGAGAAGGGTGCTGGAAACAAGAAATAGCCGCTACAGCATATAGAGAGCAGGCATTCCTATGATTTTAAAAATCTAAATTTTGAATTTTAAATTGGAATTATGAAATCAAATTGACGAGCGTATGTTGGCGAAATTTTAAACAAAACGTAATTGACCAACTGGTGTTTGTAGATTTTGGATAGTGTGCAGTGCAACTTCTACGTAGATACACCTGATGATGGCCAGTTACGGCCGAAACATGTAGTGTGGAGGAAGAAGAAGAAACAATGAACTACAACATTCACGAGGGTATTTGTATTATTACAAATAGAAGTGAATAGTGCAACAGGATGCTAAAATATAATATAGTTATAGTATGTATTTTTATTTTTCTCTGGATGAACCCCCGGAAGAAATATTGTCGATGTTTCCCGGAAGAGCCCGAAGATGGCCGAAATTGGCCGAAGTAGACCTAAGTTGCGGCCAGGCCAGGGATCCCAGCAGAAGCGATTATTCTGTTTCTCAGTTGGATGCAGGACTCGGTTGAGTCGCTATAACTGCGTCCGTTGTCGTCTCCGAGGTGATAACCGCTCCCACCCTGTCCATAGATGTAAGTAGGTCACCGGAAGCTAAATACAGATATCAGGCAACGTCCTGTGTATCCTTTACACTCATCTCAAAAAAGAAGTTTCCATATTTCAAGATATACTTAGGCGAGTCAAATGAAAAACTTAAACATTTTTTTAGTATTATTTATTGTGCACAAGTAAGCTGTATCACTTTTCAACATAATCTCCCCCAAGCTCAATGCAAGTCTTCCAGCGCTTACAAAGTGCACGAATTCCTTTAGAAAGAAATTCTTTTGGCAGTCCGCGCAACCTCTCATGCACCGCGTGGCGTACCTCTTCATCAGAACGGAACGTCTTTGCTCCCATTGCTTCTTTGAGTAGTGCAAACATACGGAAATCACTTCGGGCAAGGTCTGGTGAGTATGCCGGATGAGGAAGACACTCAAAATGCAGGTCATTGATTGTCGCAACTGTTGTACGGACAGTATGGGGCCTTGCATTGTCATGTTGCAAAAGGATACCTGTGGACAGCAATCCAAGTCGCTTTGATTGGATTGCAGGCCGAAGATGATTTTTTAGGAGATCTGAGTATGATGCACTGGTGACAGTGCTCCCTCTAGGCGTGTAGTGCTCCAAGATGACGCCTTTTTCGTCCCAAAAGAGAGACAGCATAATCTTCCCTGCTGATGGTTGTGTTCGAAACTTCTTCGGTTTTGGAGATGAGGAATGGCGCCCTTTCCTTGCTCGCTCTCTTCAGAGTCAGAGTCGTGTTCCAACTGACGTCAGTCAGTCTGTCTGGCTTGGTGTCGAGCCCCAGCTGGGGCTCATGACCAGATATTTCTTTTGAATGAAAGTTGCTGTCTTGTCTATGTGGGGCGCCCTCTCTGACGAGAGGTCGGGTCTGTCATTTGTCAGTCAGTCTGTATTAAGAAGTCCACTCTCTCTATTTACATATATTTACATATACACACTTATTCCTTACTTCAATGTACAATATATACAAGGCCTCTGTAAGTCCACGCTATGTACAGCAGATTATACCCTTTCTCTTCTTCTTCTTTTCCTAATATTATTAGCTACCACGGCGGTCTAGTCACTTGAACGGTCGTATGCCTGACCGCCGCCAAGTTTAAGCCTCTTATACATTCTGTGGCGGGCTTCGCCTTGTCCGATGTTGCGAACATTCTCATTCTCATGATTTTGTATGACTTCTGCTTGTTGCCCGCATAATTTTGTTATAAAGTCATACACGTACGGGATTTTGAATGCCATGTGCAAATCGCGGACCGGTGTGCGCCTTGGAGAATTGCCAATGGTGCGGAGAGCCTTGTTTTGCAGGAACTGCAATTTCACTAGATGGGTGTCTGCCGCAAACTCCCAGGCGGGACTAGCATATGTCGTTACGGATCTAACAAGATAATTTGAGGGTCACATATAGGCTGATGTCTAATTAGAGTTCAAGATGAGAAGGACATCAAGGAAGGACATGTACCACTCCCACGCTATAAGGAATCATTAAGGATGAAAATGGATTCTAGAAATTGATAATATGACTGCTAATATTCAGGTAAAAGGTAAAGTTATCCCTGTAATAGGCCATGGAGGCCTGTGGGGGACACCGACAATCCCATAGGGTTGTGAGACATCAATGCTTCCACATGTTCTAGAAAATGGCGGTGAGGTTGTCAGCCTTACATACAGGCCGCCCTTTACCCCCAGAAAGATTCATGGTACCCATTTTTGTTAGAAGCTGAGTTGACTCCAGGGCCATAGTGCGGCTGGAATGATTAGATCAATTGAAAAATATAATAACCATTTCAGGAATCAAACCCACTACTTTCCAGCTTGTAGCATAGTGCCTTAACCAACTACTCTACTGCATGCCCCAATCAAACTTGATACATTAACTAATTATTTTACAAAACGCTAATGTTCCTTGAATGTCATGTACATTAAATGATAATATATTTCCTAGTTACTTAAGCAGAAGAGCCCGCATAGCTCAGCTGGTACATACGCTGAACTCTATGGGGAAGAACCAAGAAATTATGATTTTTTTCCTGGCAAGGACAGATTTCTCCGTCCTCTGATACCGGCTCTGGGACTAAGGCAGTCTCCTATCCAATGGGTAACACACTTCAAGCGGGAAAGAAAGTTAATCTTTTAGGTTATCTGCTAGACTTGACGTCCAGTATTTATAGAGTTATAATGTGTACCCAAGTAACAAGTTCTCCTCGGGATGATGATAATGATTATGACTGCATGTACCATGCTTAAAATGCGTAAATATACGTGTAAA